ACAATGGAAACTGTTTCCAATATTGCATTGCACACTCTACTCAGAAGGAAATTTATTTTAGCTTATATAAATTTTTGGAAGACCCAGTTTTTATTTATATTATTATCTTTAACAGAATACATAAAAACAGAGAAACCTCATTCATAAATTGTGTTTTCTCACATTTATATAGAAAGTATCTGGAAATACATAGGGCTTAACAATATTTTACTTTTGATATAGGAATTCCAGTTCTGTTAACTAAAATTAAAGAAATAATTTATAATAAAGTTTTATACATAGCGAAATCTATAACTACAGCAAATTGTCACTAATTTAAACATTGAACAATCATGGTTAAGTAGGTGTGTGAGTGCTCAGTCACTTCAATCATGTCTGACTCTTTACAACTCTATGGACTGTATCCCACCAGACTCCTCTGTCCATGGCATTCTCAGGCAGGAACACTGGAGCGGGTTGTCATGCCCATCTCCAAAGGAACTTCCCTACCCAGGGATCAAACACAGGTCTCCTGCATTGCAGGCAGATCTGTTACCACTAGTGCCACCTGGGAAGGTACACCCAGTCAACTAAGTATGAATATTCAAAAGAATTGCACTCAAAATTGTTTACCACTATGGGAAGATTTTGCTTCTAAATTAAAATACCAGGATAAAATACTGTAGTTTACATAAAATTATAATCATATTTAAAAGAATACTGGAGGAAAAGGAATCATAATTTTTTTCTACTTTTATATTTTGGAATTATTTTAACAAGCATTAGTTTTGTAAATGAGCAACAACAACAACAAAAAAACACTAAACCATTTGTAAGGAAAATTGTCCATTTCTGTAGTGAATATATCTTGAAATACTAATTTGCAGCCTGGTATCTAACCAATGTATTTTTGTTTACCTAGTAATTGTGTAAGAGAGAAAAATGTTTGCAAAAACTTACTACTTTCATTTGGTAAGACAGTTCAAATAGATAAATATATTTTCAGTCAGTGGGGATGCTCTCAAATGAAGCTTAGCATCTAGTACTACAAAAGTAGTCTTCCCGAATATTGGCTGCCAAGCTCTCTGTCCTTATCATTTCTCTCTCTCTGGGCACATCAATTTAGGTGGCATCCTCAGGCATATAAAGGGAAGGAAGACGGGGTAAAAAGTCATCTCTGGTGACATGCATTACTGTTTAGACAGTAAATTATTAAACTGTTTTTGGAAGGCCAATTTTACCTTCTATATCAAAGCCTAAGCAAAGACATATATGTACACATACACTTTGCCTAGGTATCTTTTGATATCTAGAAATATAGATTTATAGGAGTAATGTTTAACTTTGAATACTTTTTAGTATCAAAAATAGAAATAAATTTCATGATTAAAATTAATTCATTTAAATATGGTATGATATGTTTACTGGACATAATGTTGAGTAGCTATTAAAATCACATTTTAAAATAATATTAAATATTAGGAATGAAATTAAATGATGTGAGAAAATGCTCATAATTACTCTTTAAACATTACAAGTAAATATATAGCTTTGCATGTTTTTAGGGAAAAATGACATATTTTTCATGCAAAAAGGAATTCAAAATATATACAACTGATTTGCAATGTGCCAGTGTGGGGTGATGAGACCATATTTGATTTTATATATACCTTTATTTTGTTTATTCAGTTATTATTTTACAACTTTTTATAGTGTGCATATATGTAGATGTCAATATGGTAATCATAAACAATTCATTAAAGAGCTTTTTTGTTAGCTATTTTAAAATTGAGGCAAAGAGATTCAAAATATTTACTAAAATTCTCTGTGTGTATATATGTGCTAACTTAGGAATAAATTGTCTTTACCTAGGTACTGACCTCTGATTCATTAACAAAGTAAGTTAACTTTAGCCACATGGCCAAAATACACCCAAATAATCATGCAGCCATTTTTATGTCTCAGTGAGGCAAACCACAAGTTCTCTGAACTGCAACCAGAATATATCAAAATGTTTTCTAGTTCAATGAAATTTTGTTATAATCTCCATATGGAAGAGGAACAATGTAAACACATCTGCTCTATGAAGTTGTTCTACTGAATATTTCAGAAATAATGAATTAGACTGCATTTCAGACTGGCTTGATTGGGAGACAGAAGGTATTTCTTTCCAAGGCTTGTAAAGAAAATTTTGTTAGGCATATAAATACCTCAGTTCTTACATGCCAACATGTTCAAACCTGACCCCGGCTCTGCCAATCCCACACTTTCAAAAAGACATTTCTCTTCCTACTTTGTTGGATAGACTATCTTCTAAGATATATACATATATATATAAAGCTGCTCAGTCATGTCTGACTCTGTGCGACCCCATGGACTGTAGCCCACCAGGCTCCTCTGTCCATGGGATTCTCCAGGCAAGAATACTGGAGTGGGTTGCCATTCCCTTCTCCATATATATATGCTTAGTTGACTTCTCTGGTGGCTCAGAACGTAAAGAATCTGTCTGTCAATACAGGAGACACCAGTTCAACCCCTGGGGAGGGATGATCTCCTGGAGAAGATAATGGCAACCCAGTCTAGTATTCTTGCCTGGAGAATCCCACTAACAGTGGAGCCTGGTGGGCTACAGTCCACGGGGTCGCAAAGAGGTAACACAATTGTGCGACTAACACTTAAGATAATGCTTAGTTGCTCACTCGCGTCCAACTCCTTGGGACACTTAGGACTTCAGCCTGCCAGGCTCCTCTGTCCTTTGGATTTTTCAGGCAAGAATAGTGGAGTGGGTTGCCATTTTCTCCTCCATGGGCTTTTCCCCACCCAAAGATCAAACCTGCATCCTGCAGGTAGATTCGTTACCTGCTAAGCCAACGAAAGTCCATATATGTTACATTTACTCATCCATAGATGTATTACACATCTTTCTCTACCTTTCTCTGTATCTTATGAATATATTCACAATTTGTATATGATTTTGACTACTTGGATTTGTATTCAGATTACTGAATAAAAATACAGATAATTAAAATTTTAATAAGATGTCACCACAGGCAATTGTAGGATTTGGAAGATTATTTACTATTTTGGCACATGTATATCCCCAGTATTTATGATAACAAAATTTATGATTAACAAACAAAAATGAATCAGGTCAGCAATTTCCTGGTAAAGCTTCCTCCAGTTCACATAAACATCACAAAGTATTCCATTAATATCACCTGTCTGTTATAATCATTTAATAGTTCAGTATAGAATCACCACCTATTTTTTTCATATATAAATGCATTATTTTATTTAAAAACATAAATGAGATCACATCATATATTACTCTATAGCTTATTTTTCTAATTTAATAATATGCCTTGAAAAGTGATCTACCTCTCTGCTGTGGAAATTATGTATGGTAAAATTATTTATTTCAGCTTTGCTTAAAATTAAAGTTAAAATCATGACAATTAATAGGACAGACTTTGGAAAAGTCAAGTTTCTGAGCTTCCCAATGTAAATATGTACATGGATAATGGTAAAATTTTGTGAATATGAACAAGACTTGAAAATACTAAGAACATAAAGCAGTCAGGTTGCTTAGGGATTTTTTGCCACATTTATTTTTATTCTTTTCTTAGTAAGCATGAAAGTTGCTCAATCATGTCCAACTCTTTTGACCCCATGGACTGTCACTTGCCAGGCTTCTCTTTCCATGGAATTCTCCAGGCAAGAATACTGGAAATGGGTAGCCATTCCCTTCTCCAGGGAATCTTCCGGATTCAGGGATTGAACCTGGGTCTCTTTCTTGCATTTGAGGCAGATTCCTTACCATCTGAGCCACCAGATAATCACCCATTCAGATTGTGGTGCTGAAGAAGACACTTGAGAGGCCCTTGGAATGCAAGGGGATCAAACCAGTCAATCCTAAAGGAAATCAAACCTGAAAAGTCATTGGAAGGATTGATATTGAGGCTGAAGCTCCAATACTTTGGCCACCTGATGCAAAGAGCTGACTCATTGGAAAAGACCGTGATGCTGGGAAAGATTGAAAGCAGGAGAAGGAAGCAACAGGGTTGGATGACATCACTGACTCAATGGACATGAGTTTGAGCAAACTCTGGGAGATAGTGAAAGACAGGGAGGCCTGGTGTGCCACAGTTCATGAGGTCACTAAGAGCCAGAGATGACTGAGCAACTGAACAACAAAGTATGAAATTGATTCTTGGCTAGGATGTTTGTAACATTCTTAAGAAAGATTCCAATTTATCCACAATGCTTTATCTTGATAAATCATCATTTACCTGTGACTAGACTGTTTATTTGATTTTGAAGGAAACTTTAATTCTCATGAATATTTTATTGGTAATTAGTTTCAAATTGACTCATAATCTTATCATATTTTAATTGCTTATTGTGAATTCCATGATTCTTTCATAATTAGTAAAACTATATAAACTGGTTAACCTTCACTTCAAATGTAGAGGAAAATAACACTTTATTCCCGTTTTATCAAAAAGTCCATAAAAATGTAACACAGACTTTGTGACTTTGACAACACTTAAGAATCTATTTTATCATGGTTTTTAGAATCTGCATTGCATTTCCTTCTGTGGGTGTTCCATAGCTTATTAACTATTCAGTTTTTGATGGACATTCAGGTTGCTTCAGGTATTTAAAATTTTATAACACTTTGAAAACATTTCTTGTACCAAATAGATGATATATATTTGTTGAATGAGAAATTGTCTCTCGAGTTTCCTCAGGTTTTTGAAAGTAGGAGTTTGGTTCTTTCTATTTATTAAATTCTGTATCCCAAGGCCCTCAACTCATAGCACACATGTGTATCTCACTAAATTTTACTGAGTGCTGAAAATGTTTTGTGGGTGGCTTGAATTAGGGCTATGGATAGGGACCCTCTTCCTAAAACATCCCAGAATTGGATATACGACTGGATGCCACAGACATTAACTATAAATGCAGAATGCCACGTGGATGGCAATGAGAACAAGCTACATGTGGAACACAGCACTTACCTGGACAAGGAACATAGCTATGTGGTGAAACTCTCCACGGCCCCCTTGTTTCACAGGAACTGTCATGAAGAATTTGCTACCATCTCTAGAAAACACAGGCTCCTCATTCTAAAAAACAGAAATACACATAACAATCTCAAAAGGGCGTCTGAAAATTGTGCTTCCAACTACTACCAATACATGCATGGATTAGACAAATAATTGATTTACGTTTATTTTGGCAAAAGGTTGAATTATTATTTAAAATATAAAAGTATGATAATATTTTTAAAGTGAACTCAATGATGCTTTAGGCACATGGGCATATGTGTGTTTTTGAAAGGTGAGATGGATGGAAAAGTATCTTGCATATTGAATAGAAATGATTCACAATTAGACTAAAGACAATTTTGAAACTGGTTCAGAAAACAACTTTCATATCTTCACATATGATTATGCTTAGAGATGCACCCTTCAAAAATAAAGAAAATATGAACAGCTGTGACAGTTTATAAAAATCCAGTTTTAATTTGGAAAATTGTATAACATGCAATATTTAATACATCTTCCTGAAAAATTTTACTCAGCAAGTGAAGTTATTGAAGATACATTTCTGATGATGTATATATAAATTTACTGTAAACACAAAAATGAAAAGACAGCAAAATTGGAACCGATCAATTGAAAATGATTTAATTCAAATTTCCCATCCTCACTGCTCACTTTTTCACAAACACACAAACATAGATGCCCACTTGATGATTTTTTAATTAAACTCCAGTGGCATGTTAAATCAATACAATTGTTTTTGAAAATTAAATGATGGAGGCTATGCTTATAGATTGCTTTCTCTTGCTTAAGGGGAAATAGTAAGGAATTGGATTTACATAACAAAAAACTGAGTTCTTTCATTTGGATTAGTGAGAGTGACATGTTGTTGTTCAGTCCCTAAGTCCTGTCCAATTCTTTGTGACCCCATGGACGGCAGCGTGCCAGGCTCCTCTGTCCTCCACAATTCCCTGGAGTTTGCTCAAATTAATGCCCATTTAGTTGGTGATGCTATGCAACCATCTCATACTCTGCTGCCTCCTTCTTCTTTTGCCTTAATTCTTTCCCAGCATCAGGGTCTTTTCCAATGAGTTGGCTCTTCACATCATGTGACCAAAGTATTGGAGCTTCAGCGTCAGCATCAGTTCATCCCCTGAATGAAGCAGGATTGATTTCCTTTAGGATTGATTGGTTGAATTTCTGCGCTGTCAAAGGGACTTTCAAGAGTCTTCTCCAGCACCATAATTCAAAAGCAATAATTTCTTGGCACTCCACCTTCTTTATCTCACATCTCCACATGACTACTGGAAAAAAACATAGCTTTGACTATATAGACCTTTGTGAGAAAAGCAATGTTTCTGCTTTTTAATACAGTGTCTATGTTTGTTATAGCTTTCCTTCCAAGGAGCTGGAGTCTTCTAATTTTATGGCTGTAGTCACTGTATGCAGTGATTTGGGAGCCAAAGAAAATAAAATCTGACATTGTTTCCACTTTTTCCCTTTCTATTTGCCATGAAGTGATGGCACCAGATGCCATGATCTTAGTTTTTTGAATGTTGAGTTTCAAGCCAGCTTTTTTACTCTCCTCTTTCACCCTCATCTAAAGAGACTCTTTCTTTAGTTCCTCTTCACTTTCCATCATTAGAATGGTATCATCTACATATCTGAGGTTATTGATATCTCTTCTGGCAATCTTGATTCCAGTGTGAGTCATCCAGCCTGCCATTTCATATGATGTACTCTGCATATAAGATAAATAAGCAAGAAGACAATTATTTGGCCTTGTTCTATTCCTTTCCCAATTTGGAACCAGTCAGTTGTTCCATGTCCATTTCTAACTGTTGCCTCTTGACCCACATACAGGTTTCTCAGGAGACAGGAAAGGTAAGGTGGTCTGATATTTTCATCCCTTTAAGAATTTTCCATAGTTCATTGTGATCCACCCAGTCAAAGGCTTTAGCATAGTTCAAGAAGCAGAGGTAGATAGTTTTCTGGCGTTCCATTGCTTTTTCCATGATACTATGGATGCTGGCAATTTGATTGCTTGTCCCTCTGCCTCTTCAAAACCCAGTTTGTATGTCTGGAATTTCGCAGGTCACATACTGTTGAAACTGAACTTGAAGGATTTTGAGCATAAACTTGCTAGCATGTGAAATGAGTGAAATTGTACTGTAGTTTGAACATTCTTTGGCATTCCTCTTCTTTGGAATGGAATAAAACACCTTTTAAAGTCCTGCAGTCACTGCTGAGTTTTCCAAATTGCTGACAAAATGAGTGCAGCATTTTAACAGCAGCATCTTTTCAGGATTTGAAATGGCTTAGCTGGAATTCATCCACCTCCCCTAGCTTCATTCGTAGTGGTGCTTTCTAAGACCCACTTGACTTCACACTCCAGGATGTCTGGCTCTAGGTGAGTGATTACACCATCGTGGTTATCTTTGGTTAATGTTAAGACCTTTTTTGTATAGTTCTCTCATCCCCTCTTCTTAATCTCTACTGCTTCTTTTAGGTTATTACTGTCTGTCCTTTATCATGTCCATCTTTGCAAGCAATATTCTCTTGATATCTCCAATTTTTTTGAAGAGGTCTCTATTCTTTCCCGTTCTACTGTTTTCCTCTATTTCTTTTCATTGTTCATTTAAGGAGACGTTTTTATCTCTCGTTGCTCTCCTCTGGAACTCTGCATTCAGTATACCTTGCAAGTTGTCATTTCACTTTTGCTTCTCTTCTTTCATCAACAAGTTTTAAGCCTCCTCAGACAACCCCTTTGCCTTCTTGAATCTTTTCTTCTTTGGGATGGTTTTGGTCACTTCCTCCTATACATTGTTTCGAACCTCAGTCTATAGTTCTTCAGGCACTCTGTCTACCCTAAGATCTAATCCCTTAATGTGTTCATCACTGCCACTGTTTAGTCATAAGGAATTTGATTTAGATCATACCTTAATGGCCTAGTGGTTTTCCCTACTCTCTTAAATTTAAGCCTGAATTTTTTAGTAAGGTGCTCATGATCTGAGCCACAGATAGCTTCAGGTTTTGTTTTTGCTGATTCTCTAGAGCTTCCCCATCTTTGGCTGCAAAGAACATAATCAATCTGATTTTTATATTGACATCTGGTGATGTGTCAAGCTATCTCTTTGGCTTTTGGAAAAGGGTTTACTGTGACCAACCTGTTCTCTTGACAAACTCTGTTAGACTTTGCTCTGCCTATTTTGTACTTAAAGGCCAAACTTGCCTATTATTCTGGATATTTCTTGACTTTCTATTTTGCATTCCAATTCCCCATGATGAAAAAGGACTTCTTTTTAGTGTTAGTTCTAGAAGATATTGTCGGAGAAGGCACTGGCACCCCACTCCAGTACTCTTGCCTGGAAAATCCCATGGATGGAGGAGCTTGGTGGGCTACAGTCCATGGGGTTGCTAAGAGGTAGACATGACTGAGCGACTTCACTTTCACTTTCACTTTCACTTTCATGCATTGGAGAAGGAAATGGCAACCCACTCCAGTGTTCTTGCCTGGAGAATCCCAGGGACGGGGGAGCCTGGTGGGCTGCCGTCTATGGGGTCGCACAGAGTCAGACACAACTGAAGCGACTTAGCAGCAGCAGTAGCAGCTAGAAGATGTTGTAGGTCTTCATAGGACTGGTCAACTTCAGCTTGTTTTCCATCAGTGTTTGGGGAATAGACTTGGATTACTGTGATGTTAAATGGTTTACCTTGGAAATGAACCAAGATCATTCTGTCATTTTTGAGATTGCACCCAAGTACCTCATTTCAGTCTCTCTGGTTGACTATGAGGGTTACTCCAATTCTTCTAAGGGATTCTTGCCCACAGTAGTAGGTATAATGGTCATCTGAATTAAATTCACCCATTCCTGTCAAGTTCAGTTCACTGTTTCCTAAGATGTTGATGTTCAACCTTGCCCTCTCCCGATTAACCATGTCCAATTTACCTTGATTCATGAACGTAACATTGCAGGTTCCTATGCAATATTGTTCTTAACAGCGTCCAACTTGACTTTCACCACCAGACACATCCACAACTGAGTGTCATTTCTGCTTTGGCCCAGCCACTTCACTCTTTCTGGAACTAATAATGATTGCCCTCTGCTCTTTCCTAGTAGCATACTGGACACCTTCCAACCTGGGGGGCTCATGTTCTGGTGTCATATCTTTTTGCCTTTCATACTGTTCATGGAGTTCTTGTGTCAAGAATACTGAAGTGATTTGTCATTTCTTCCCCCAGTGGACCATGTTTTGTCAGAACTCTTCATTATGACTCATCTGTCTTGGATGACCCTGCATGGCATGGCTCATAACTTCAATGAATTACACAAGCCCCTTCACCAAGACAAGGCTGTGATCCATGAAGGGGAAGAGTGACTATACATATGGTATAAATAAAGGCTTTGATATGGTTTCCTTAACATGTCTTCAGAATGGCTCAAGCACTTTTAAATGACCTAATCCTCCACTCTCTCATCTCTTCTTTCTTCCTTCCACATCCTGCATTTTTCTGGTCCAGGGTTTGCATTTTTAATGTTTTTTCCTTGCTTTGTCTGGCTATTTCTCAGCCTTTACTCTCTCTTTCTCTCTTTTTTTTTTTTTTTTGGCAGAACTTATTTATTTTTGTTATTGGGATAAAGCTGATATACAATGTTGTGTTAGGTATACAGCAAACTGAATCAGTAGTACAAAGTGAAAGTGAAGTCGTATCCGGCTCCTTGCGACCCCATGGACAGTAGCCTACCAGGCTCATCCCTCCATGGGATTTTCCAGGCAAGAATACTGGAGTGAGTTGCCATTTCCTTCTCCAGGAGATCTTCCCTACCCAGGGATCAAAGCCGGGTCTCCTGCATTGTAGACAGACGCTTTACCATCTGAGCCACCAGGGAAGTCTATCCACTTTTTTAGATTATTTTCCCCTATAGGCCATTACATAGCACTGAGTAGATTTCCCTGTGCTATACAATAGGTTCTTCTTATTTATCTATTTTGTTTATACTCATGTGTGCTCAGTCACTCAGTTGTGCCCAACTCTTTGCAACCCCTTGGCTCTAGCCCACGAGGTTACTCTGTCCATG